GTAAATCATATAGAAGCGCAAAATAACTGTGCGCTGCCACTTTGCTGACTCGGCTGCCCTTCAGGGAGGCCGAACACAGCTCCCCGGGGCAGAGCCGTTTCTTAGGCGGGGGCGCAGGGAACACACCTCACTAAATCCATAGAGCAATGAAGATACTGTCCGTTAACTTCTTTGCAGCACCGTTGAGTTTGTTTATTTTAAGGAACTTGAGAGGTAATGTCATGGCATATCGTTATGGGCTGTATAAGCTGCTATTAAAATCTGTAGGAATTAAAAACACAGAACAATTTTTGAGTTTAAGATTGTCGTGCATGTTAGAACGACGTATTGTACCAGTGTCATCCCTGAGGGAAAACAAAGGTAAATGGAGTTTATCCCCTCCTGAGGTGGGTGATGCACATCTTGCCCAGCGCTTGCTGCCTGGCTCACTGTACCTGCTGGGTGAGTTTGCCAGCAGCATCCGTCATTTTGACATACAGAGAGTCTTTTTTAAGCATTTGTGTTAAGTTTGTATTAACTGGATGACTTGAACTATTGTATCTATAAACAAATAGTTAGAACAGAATACAGATGACCTAACTGAGAATATATTGTGAAACTGGGTTTTTAAATTATTATTCTTCTTCTTTTAAAGAAAACACAATTCTTATATAACCCTGCATTAGGGCCAGCGGCACACGTGCAGCGGTAAGAGCACACCCTGGGTGCAACTGAAAGTAGCTCTCAATAGGTATTTGACCTGTTTTTAATCCAGTTATAAATGATATAAAAATCAATTTAATAGAAAACTGGAGGCCAATATAGATGTTTCCACAGTCCCCTGCAAACATTTATTTTAAACAAATAAAAAATATCTCAGTATCTGAGAACCTGAAAGTCAAGCTGTTAACGTGGAGAACTGGACTTAACTTCCTCACTCAAAATTAACAAATACGGGAAGAAAATAATGGCTGTTATTAGGCAAAAATGGTTATTTTCCTCCCTTTTAAAAATAACACTAGCTATTAACTCGGACAAGCTGTCCTGCTCTGTGTTGGTTAGTGGCCGACTGTTCCTGCCATCAGTCAGCGGAGCGGTGAGGGGAGTCACAGACAGACCGGTGTTAATCTGCTTGTCAGGTGGAAATACCCATCTGTGCTCCGGGGGCGATGTGTGGCTCATCCAGCTTCTTGCACGGAGAGAGAATTTCATCCACGGGGATGAGCAGTTTGGCTTTCATACGTACAAAGAACGGTTCTCCAAGTCAAGGGCTTGATTAAGGTGGCTCTGTCTGAGGTAGCACCTTCACTACCTTTTTGTTGAAACGTGATATAATTTACAATGCCACCTGCATACCAGCGTGCTCTCGGGGGTGAATCTACTTCAGGCTTGCTCTGGTGATGCTCTAAGGATCAGGAAAACTGGAACCGTTTACCTTTTCCTATGCCCTTTGGTAATAAAGCATACCCTTGTCTGTCTGGCTGTCTGCTGGCTCGCACAGAGCTGAACTCAGGACAGCAGAAGAATCAATAAAGTGTTTCTGTTCTGGGTAAATTGAGGCAGGTAGAGGAAACTCAATAAAATAGCTTATGGAAACGTAGCTTGTGGGGCTCTGTTCACATCAGCTGAGGAGTCTTTGCCTAGATGGTAGAAGTGAAGAGTGTGTCAGTCTCTACCTTTAGGTTTCCTTAAAGTCCACGCTGCGTAGTTGTCAAGCTCTCCTTGCCAAGCAGGGGTGCAGACTGGAACGGCAGGCTGCCTGTGGGACTGCTCAAACAGAGAACATTAGAGAACAGAGGGCCGAATGTCTCTCCAGCTGCCGTGTCCATTGTGGTCACTGACGCCTGGGAAGGCCTGGACAGGCGGCTCCTGAAGGCTGAAGAACGGTTCTCTGTCCGTAGGGAGCATCATTCTGCTGGGAAAGGCCATCGTTAGCTGCTGTAGAGCACTGGATCATACTACGCACCGGTTCCAGAGCTGCTTACGCTGCAACACGTCGCTCTGTACGCGTAATACAGCCAGAGCGCTGTACTGGTCCCCGGTCCTCTTGTCGCTGCCCATTGCCGCAGGCTGTCAGTCTGCTCTCCAAGGTTACTCACTTGAGGATGTTGAGCAAATGTACAGCAGCATGGAAAATGTCAAACAGTAGGAGTGCGAAGAAGCTTTTTCCTTCTGTTTAAGTACTATTAAAAATCATCCACGTAAACAGATTCAGAGCACTTGATAGCAAGTCTGTGACGTGCAAATTATGTTAGTTCTTCAGTAGTCAAACGGACACGGGAAGAGCACTAGGCACCCATGTCCAGACATGGGACAGCACAACAAACACCAGAGGAAACTCAGCCGTGAGAAAGAGGATGTGAGGACGGGTCTTGCTTTGCTTGCCCGGCACCGAGGACTGGTCGGGAGTCACCGGTGCAGCTCAGCAGTGCCTGTGTGTCCTCCTGGGGCTGGTTTGTGACGCTGTCCTCACCTGGGAATGTGTAGAAACTTGCCTTCCTCCAAGAAGGCCTGGCAACGAAAGGCAAACGGGAGAATCAAGTCTCTTTTTTTCCCCCATATTTTTTCTTGATTGTGGGTTTCGGGTTTTGGAATTTGGTCGGCTCTAGAATATTCCCCATTTTCTTCTGCCCACCTGCTGAGTGAAAAGTTGCCTGCTGCTTTTAGTCGTCTCATTAGCCTGAATCTTGTCCTTTTTTCTACATGGTGGTGGGAATTTCTCTAGCTGGGAAGAGAGTTCTAGGTCAAGTTTATGTAATAACTAGGGGAAGGTGCCAGAGCCCTTAACCTTCCCTGCTTTTCTCTTGGTAAGTTCATACTGCTTTCTGTGTATTAAACCTCTGTCTGGGGAGTAAGAAGAGCCCGGCATACAGAACTAACGGTAGGTAATTCTGTATTTCTATACATCATGCAAACCCGTGTTTTATGCCACAATTGCAAGTCCTAGAAATATCGTATATATTTGAACGCTTCGAAAAAACAAACCACTGAAAGATTGAATGTGTCCATAATGCTGAATTATTAGTCATCAAGCGTGTTTTTTAAAATTAAAACACCAGAGATTCTATTTAAAATAACCACCTGTTTTCTTATTTTAAAAGTTTTTTTTTAATCACCCTTAACTAAAAATGAATTAATTAAAAGAAAAACTAATTATGGTTGCCTGGCAGTCAACTTCCTTTCCTTCAGAAATCTCAGGGAATAATTACTTCGTAATTTTTTTCTTTTTTATTTAGTTAAATTTTAATTACTAAAAGATACGGTATGTTTGTATGAACCTAATGCTTAAGAAAGCAAGCTTGGCAGTAGCGGAGACCAGGGCCCTGTCACGAATTTACAGCGCGGAAACGTCACAGCCGTGGACGGGCGCAGCCTTTAGCAAAGCAAGCGTCCCGTCTCTCCAGCCTAAGCCAAGGGGAGGCACAGCCTGGCCTTCAGATGCGGGTTCCCCTCGCTCTAGTCCGATGCCAAGTGTCAGCCACAATGATCCGTGAGGTCAACCTTCACAGAACGATTCACGAACCGCCAGGAACGTAGGAAAAAAGAACCCCAAACAAAGAGCGAGCCGGACACACGTGGCAGGCAGCGCGTTCAAGCCCACAGCACCGAAATGCAGGGGGCCGTGCGCCAGTTATTCCCTGTTCACGTCTTACGTTCGGAGGATTCTGAAAAACGACGAGTAGGAGAGCGTTCGGCTGCTTCGACGTAACCTGCCTTCTAGTGGCACCCAGGAATAACCGCCTGTTGGGCGCGGGCACCTCCTCG